TTCTTTTTTCATCTCGTTACAGGTGATGAAGCACACTGAAAATGTTTTGTCATTATCTCCTTTATATCTTTTCTCTTTTTTTTCTTTTTTCCTTTTTCTTCCTCTGATTTTCTGCTCTATTTACATTGCAGTGTCCATATAAACTCTAAAACTCCCTGCATAATTATAATAAAGCAATTTATATGCATGAAACAAGTGGAGCAGTATGGCAATTGCCATACTGCTACACTTGTGAAAGTAAAATCTGTTGGGCTCTTTTTGGCATAAAGACAATTATCTTATTGCCACATTCCAGGACACTGTTAAAAAAAATACATAAACAGGTAGGCCTATGAAATGTTGAAACTTTTATCTCACTATGTCATTAAAAAAAATTCACACTCATACCGGAGATAGTCTCTTACTACAAGGTCTGGTTGAATATGAGCACTTGAAACTGAACACCTTCCAGTACACGGAACATCATTCACAGGATATGGAAAATGACATTGATCATGAGAACCATTTCTTTGCTAACCTAAACAATAACTGCAGCTACTATACTGACGAACAATTTAATAGGTCAATCAAGACTGAACAGCAATTATCCATTATCCACTTTAACAGCAGAAACCTGTATGCCAACTTTCACAGTAACAAACACTCTCTAAAGCAATTAAACCAGTGTTTTAACATAATTGCAATAACAGAAACTTGGATAAACAGTGAAAAAGAATCAGATTTTGGAATCGAAGGATATGAATACCCCTCCTTGAACCGCCACCTTGACGTGGTGGAGGGGTTTCAGTGCCTCGTTGATCCCAGAGACTATGTTGTCGGGGTCTAAATGCCCCTGGTAGGGTCTCCCAAGGCAAACAGGCTCTGGGTGACAGGTCAGACGAAGAGCGGTTCAAAACCCCTTGTGACAAAGACTACAGCGAGGCACATGACGCCGGATTTTCGTCGTAGGAGCCGGCCGGGCCCAGCCCAAAGCAGCGAAGCGAGGCCATCCCGCAGTGGGCCCACCACCTGCAGGGGGAACCATGAGGGACCGGTGCAAAGGGGATTGGGCGGCAGCCAGAGGTGGAGACCTCAGCAAGGGCGGGGGTTGGGGCTGCTTGTCTCCCCGCTGCTCAGCTGTCTCGAGAGGGAGGTGTACCAGGCCTTCTTAGCATCCCTGGGGAGGGTGTTAGAAAGCGCCCCTCCCGGGGATTCCATCATTCTACTGGGAGACTTCAATGCCTACGTGGGAAATGACAGTGACACCTGGAGGGGCGTGATCGGGAGGAACGGGCCCCCAGCTCTGAACCTGATTGGTGTCTCATTGGACCTCTGTGCAAGTTACGGATTGTCCGTAATGAACTCCATGTTCAGGCATAAGGATGTCCATCGGTGCACTTGGCACCAGGACACCCTAGGCCGAAGGTCGATGATCGACTTTGTAGTCCTATCTTCTGATCTTCGGCCGCATGTCTTCTAAACCCGGGTGAAGAGAGGGGCGGAGTTGTCCACCGACCACCAACTGGTGATGAGTTGGATACGCTGGAAGAGGAGGAAGCCTGAAAGACTTGGCAGGCCCACACGAGTAGTGAGGGTCTGCCGGAAACATCTGGTGGAACCCTCGGTCAGGGACGTGTTCAACTCCCAGCTCCGGGAGAGCTTCTCTCAGGTTCCGCGGGAAGTTGGAGACATGGAGTCCGAATGGGCTGTGTTCTCTGCCTCTATTGTCGATGTGGCTGTCCGTAGCTGTGGCTGCAAGGTTTGCGGTGCCTGTCGTGGTGGCAATCCCCGATGATGTCAAGCTGAAGTAGGAGTCCTATCAAGCTTGCCTGACTTGTGGGACTCCTGAAGCAGCAAGCAGGTACTGTGAGGCCAAGCGTGTCGCGGCCCGGGCGGTTGCAGAGGCAAAATCTCGGGCCTGGGAGGAGTTCAGAGAGGCCATGGAAAAAGACTATCGGTTGGCCTCAAAGCGATTCTGGCAAACCGTCCGGCGCCTCCGGAGGGGAAAGCAGTGCTTCGCTAACACGGTTTTCAGTGGGAGTGGGGAGCTGCTGACCTTAAAGGAGGATATTGTCGGGCGGTGGAAGGAATACTTTGAGGATCTCCTCAACCCGACAGACACGCCTTCCGTGGGGGAAGAAGAGACGGGGTGCTTGGGGCTGGATTCGTTCATCACCCAGGCCGAAGTAACCGAGGTGGTCAAAAAACTCCACAGTGGCAAGGCTTCGGGGATGGACGAGATCCGTCCTGAGTATCTTAGAGCTCTGGATGTTGTCGGGCTCTCATGGTTGACACGTCTCAACATCGCGTGGAGGTCGGGGACAGTTCCCCTGGATTGGCAGACTGGGGGGGTGGTTCCCCTCCACAAGAAGGGGGACCGGAGGGTGTGTTCCAACTATCGGGGAATCACACTTCTCAGCCTCCCCGGAAAGGCCTATGCCAGGGTGCTGGAGAGGAGAGTCCGGCTGATTGTCGAACCGCGGCGGCAGGAGGAGCAGTGTGGTTTTCGTCCTGGCCGTGGAACGGTGGACCAGTTCTACTCCCTCTCCAGGGTGCT